CACTGAAAATATGTTGCCAAATTGTTTGATTTTTCATTGGCCATCGCTATTCCAGAAGGTGAAACTCAGTAGAAGTAGTGGCGGAACAGTTGGATTTTGGCACTGAGTACGTTTGGACACAAAAATGCAATGAAACGGTGGATGTCTATGGCTTGGGTGTAATTCTACTTGTGCTTTTGACTGGTCTCAAATACATCAGCCTTCCAGTTGGCACCTGAAATTCATTTTATGATCTCCCAGTTCGCTTGCTGAAACTCATTTTTATGATTCTCCCATTCGGCATACTGAAACTCATTTTGATGGGCCTTTGGAGCTTGATATTCTCCCATGAGCCTACTGAAACTCATTTGTGGGCCTTTGGAGCGTGATGATTCGCCCATTAGGCCTACTGAAACTCATTGATGGGCCTTTGGAGCGTGGTGATCTCCCATTCGGCCTACTGAAAACTCATTTTGATGGGCCTTTGGAGCGTGATGATTCTCCCATTAGCCCTACTGAAAATCATTTTTATTATTGTCCCAGTTCGCCTGTTGAAACTCATTGTGATGATTCTCGCTTTCGGCCTAGTGAATGTCATTTTGGTGGGCCTTTGGCGCGTGCTGTGAAAAAATACATTGAGCAAGAGAGGTTTACTGAGATGGTTGATCCCATAGTTGTGGTTCTGGACTATCTCCTGAAAAAGAAGAGCAATTGCAAGCATTTGCAGAGCTTGCCTTTAAATGTCTATCTCCAGCCGTCGGACAGGCCAACAATGATTGATGTAGCAAAACAACTTAGGCACATTTATAAATCTACTTGTCAATTAATGTCTTAATTTATGTACTCATTATTACAAAGATGTAAATTTTAATGCATTTATGAAGATTGAGAATGCTCTTGTAATAGACCTTTCATATATATATATATTGTTATTGATAATTATATTGTTTCTATTTCTATAGAAGAAGTGTCAGCTTTCCAAAGAAAGCTAAGCGTCTTTATAATTACAGAAGGACAAAATCATGATTTTTGACAAAACATAAGAGGCTTAACTTAACATTCCAATCTGTTGTCAAGATATTGTGATTTTTCTTTCGCCCACTATTTGAGGTGAGTTTGAATTGAAAGGGATGCATTCTGAGACGCATTATTTGAGATGGATAAGAGATAAATCTACAATATCTTTATAGTGTACTGGGATGTTATATACTTAAAAGGCCACCATATTTAACTTTGTGATTAAGAAGACTTAACTCTGTTTCTAGATATTATACTGTCAAATCTAGATCATCTATTCACCATTTTATAGTTAAGAAAGAATCATACTTGCAAATTAGTTATATATGTTGTCTAATGTAGACCATCTATTCACCACATGTGGCATAAAGTCTAGAGACCAAAATTCGGCAGAACTAATGCTTCATCGTTGTAAGCTTCTGCCACAAAATCATTCCCCGATAAACGTTTACATCCAGTGGAAATAAATATTATCATCATTTATATTTTTAATTTGTTTTTATTATTTTTGTTGTTGCTTCTTGTTAGCCAGAATCTTCTTCCTTCGTATAAGTTGCCTCCTTATTTGACTTCTTACTGGTTAGTTATGTCTTAATATATGATCATAGTTACATATAAAGTTACGAATTTTAATGTTATGTAAATGAAGGGTGTGGCAATGCCCTGTTTCTAGATAATTATATTATCATATCTAGATCATCTATTCACCATGTTATACTTTGATCTTGACAGTAAAGGTCTTTATGTCCCCTAAATGATTGGTCTTTATATATATATATATGGTTGTGTTCTCTCTCTCTCTCTCTTTGGGCTAGTTTTTGGGTGAATTCTACCTAGTCCGATGTTATAGATGAGCTAACTTTTGGGTTTGAGTTATATCAAACCCCATGTTATATATGGGCTTATATTCTACCAAGCTTCTACCAAGCCCAATGTTATATAATTATCGGGAAACAAAGTTAAGTAGATCCCATAATTGTTGGTACCGAATTGTCGTTAGAAATAGAACAGCAATTGCAAGCTCTTACAAACCTTGCCTAAAAAATGTTTCTCCAAATTCGCTCAAGAAAGGCCGAAATGATTGATGTAGCATAAAACAACTTAGGAAAATGTATAAATCTACTTGTTAATTATTTCTTAATTTATGATCGTAATTACTTTTAATGTTATGTATATGAAGGATCAAGGGTGTGGCAATGCCCTGTAATAGAGCTTTCCTTCATATAATTTGTTCTGGTATTCATATTGCCTGAAGGCCACCACAACTGCCTTAATTATTGATTAGACATGTACTTGGCTCTGTTTACAGGTAATTATATCTCCCCTGTTGGCTTGACTTGCTCTGAAATCCCCCTGAGACAGAATGTTTATATAATGATACAGCATATATAGCTCCTTTGACAGATTCCCACATGCTTGGAATTTATAGAAAATGCTCTTTTGTTGATGAGAGTCGTATTGAAATTTTGTTTAATCAAAGAAAAACGATTCTTGAGTTATATGTGAGCTTTCTGTGACTGGCATGTAACTAGAAGAACCAAATTTTTTCATCATTTACATTTATTTTTGTTGTTGATTTATGGCCATATTACTGTTTTTGTATACACACATATGCCTCCCGTTCTTCTTGCATTTGGACCATTTGATAATTCCTATGTAGGTAGTGTGGCCTTGATGGCAGTGTGTCATTGTCTTGATGTTATATATATTAGAGTATATTTGGTTCAAGGAATGTTAGATTACTGGTAATATTAAATTATTGGAAAGTTAGATTATCTAGAAGATTACTAGGAATCTTTAGGAAAATGTGTTTGATTAACTGACGGATACTTTATATTAATATGTTTAGTTGGATGAATAAATTAGTGGGTATGTTATTTAAATTACTAAATTGCCTCTAATTAAATATTATTATTATATTATTTTTTAATATTGATTATTATTTGGATTGTTATAACCCCTACATTTAAAAATTTAGCAACAATAACCCCATAATAAAAGTTTAGAAAATTAACAAAACACCCCCACCAACCAAGCCACTGTCAGCATTCGACAACCACCGTCGGCAGTTGGCAACCTAACGGTGCATGGAAGGGCCTCCCTGCATCTTATGACCATTTCCAGCCAGAGATCTGGCTGTCAATGGCCAGATCGATGACGAATTTGGTTGGAAATGGTCATATCGAAGCACGACAGCTATTTTCGGCTTTCCATGAGGCGTTCCTATCGTAGCAGTTGCCGATGACAGACGGTGGCAAGTGGGTGGGGGTGGTGGCTTGGGTGAGCTGTAATTTATTTTGAATTCAAGGATAATTTTGTCCAAAAAATTAATTAGTTGGGGTGAAATCATAAAAGTCATATTTATGTAAATATATTTAAAAATAAGGGTATTATTATCCTAAAATTTTATTAATAAAAGATAAAATTGTAATAAAAAAATATTATCCTGATAATCTTAGTATATCTAAAAAAATAGAGATAATTAGATTATCTTTATTATTATCAATAGTAATTATTATTAATATTTAAAAATTATCAAAATTTTATATTATTTGACAATTTTACATGATAATCAAATAATATACGATAAGATAGCCTAATAATTTATCATTATCGTCAACTAAATGGTCCTTTATAATATCAGTAATGCTAAATTTATCGACCCAATTATCGATTTGATATACTGACTCATGTGAATTGAGTCAAATTTTGAGATTTAGATTGTTGGGTAATTGGATCGATATGTCTGATAAGTGTAGTATTACTGTTATAATAGTATCTACGGAGGGTTAAATCAAACGTGGCCGGCACATTAAAAGCATGATTTTTATAATACTTTATGGGAATTCTAACAGTAAGTTAATTAAAAGTACTTACAACTTCGAACTTCAAGAAATTTTGACATCTTTGTTGATGGACATCACATAGGGTCCCATTTACAGTAAGACATTACACATTCGGCGAAGCTAAATGGTAGGACACGTTATGTTGACACCTAGACCCCACTAACACAAGGCTGTTCAAATAACAACCAGATAAACCTTGTCAAAGCAAAGGAGGGAGAACGGTTTACACATACTTAAAAGATTTGTTGTAACGATAAAATGATACCTAAAAAATTTTAAAATAATTTTTATTTGATAATCATGAAAAGACTAAAATAACTTTAAAAGATTGATATTTTAGAATTTTATAAAATTAAAAATTTTTAAAAAACCCCCTAAATTTGTTAATTTAATTAAACAGCTCAATATATAAAAATTTTGTAATATAACAAAAACACCCCATCACCAGCAGTGCTAGATTTTGGTCACCATCATCGAAATCTGGCCAGCAAATTGCATTATGACACAGATCCGTAAGATCTATGTAACACGTCGATCTAGCCTTTTCCAGCCAGATCCGGTGGTGATGGCAGGAATCTGGCATTAATGGCGGTGAGGGTGTTTTTGTTATTTTATAAAAATTTTATACATTGGGGTGTTTAGTTTAATTAGCAAACCTAAGAGGTTTTTAGAAATTTTTAAATTTATAAAAAACTAAAATATCAAACTTTCAAGGATATTATAGTCTTTTCACTATTATCAAACAGAAATCATTAACGGCATATGACAGAAAGTACCTATTTGTCGTTTTAAAATTTGGTGGGTATCACTTTTTCGTTAAGAGAAACCATGGGTCGTTCGGGCAAGCAAAGGAAGCTTCCTTATCTTGGTTACGGAAATTTCAGATTACTAGTGGGTCAACTTTTCTCGTCAATCAATGAACTGATAAATCTAAAAAAACAAATTGATCAAATAGTTGTGAAAGAAGATCAGAAGCCTCTCTCAAACTCACGCCTTGCGGGCGTTGTTCTTTATCTTGCCTGATGCTTGAATATTATTTCATCAATCACGCAGGTAAATTACACATCCAGCTTTTCATTTTTTTTTTTTCTGTGTCTATCCGCTAATGGATTTAGTTTTCTTAATTGTTAATGATAATTTTAATTTATGCATTTTTAGGTTAGATGATGAGTTGGTTTTTGAAAGAAAGCAAACGGCAGAAAGAGGAAAAACGGCAGAGAGGGGAAAGATTTCTGTTGAATGGTAAAACATTATTGAAAGAGTTGATTGCGTCTTCTAATGGTAAGTATAATCAATATCGTAGCTTCACTGATAAAGAGATCAAGATAGCAACAAACAACTATGATCAACAGAATATTATATTAACACAAGGTTGGTATTCATTGTATAGCGGTTTTCTACAAGATCGACTGGTTTCTGTTTTGAATTTTTCAGATAAGTGTACCAAATATAGTATTAATAGCATCGTATTTGCATCGCAAATGAGACACAAATTTTTTTTGAAGTTGATTGGATGTTGTTTAGAGACTGAAGCTCCCATTCTAGTTTTTGAACATGTGGAGTATGGAACTCTTGCTGATCGTATTTATCGTTCAAGTGAACAGCATTTCGAGCCTTTGTTATTGACACATAGGTTAAAGATTGCTATGGAGATAGCTAATGCAATTGCGTATCTCCATTTTGGGTTCTCTCGACCCATTATTTTTAGATCAATCAAGCCAAACAATATTGTGTTCACTGAACAATATGTTGCCAAATTGTTTGATTTTTCAAACTCCATCGCTATTCCAGAAGGTGAAACTCACCTAGAAGATAGTTCAATGGTAGGAACATATGGATTTATGGCACCTGAGTACGCTATCACACGAAAATGCAATGAAAAGGTGGATGTCTATAGCTTTGGTAGAATTCTACTTGTGCTTTTGACTGGTCTCAAATCACATCAGCCTTCCAGTTGGCCTACTGAAATTCATTTTGATGATTCTCCCAGTTCGCCTTCTGAATCTCATTCTTATGATTCTCCCATTTGGCATACTGAAACTCATTTTGATGGGCCTTTGGAGCGTGATGATTCTCCCATTAGGCCTACTGAATATCATTTTGATGGGCCTTTGGAGCGTGTTGTGAAAAAATACATTGAGCAAGAGAGGTTTACTGAGTTAGTTGATCCCATAGTTGTTGGTTCTGGACTATCTCTCGAAAAAGAAGAGCAATTGCAAGCATTTGCAGAGCTTGCCTTTAAATGTCTCTCTCATTCAGCCGTAGACAGGCCAACAATGATTGATGTAGCAAAACAACTTAGGCACATTTATAAATCTACTTGTCAATTAATGTCTTAATTTATGTACTCATTATTACAAAGACGTAAATTTTAATGCATTTATGAAGATAGAGAATGCCCTTGTAATAGACCTTTCATATATATATTGTTATTGATAATTATATTGTTTCTATTTCTATAGAAGTGGTGTCAGCTTTCCAAAGAAAGCTAAGCGTCTTTATAAGTACAGAAGGACAAATCATGATTTTTGACAAAACATGAGAGGCTTAACTTAACATTCCAATCTGTTGTCAAGATATCGTGATTTTTCTTTCGCCCACTATTTGAGGTGAGTTCGAGTCGGCCCATTATTTAAGGAATAATACTTTGGGTATTAACGGATGGGTACTAATCTGTGTACTAACTAAAGTATAGTACGTGTACTATACGTATAGTATGGGTACTATGCTTTAGTTAGTACACAGATTAGTACCCATCCGTTAGTACCCATAACATCACTCTTATTTAAGATAGGCAAGAGATAAATCTATAATATCATTATAGTGCATCGGAATCTTTGTTTTAAAAATTAGATCAGACCGGCTGGTTAGTCCGGTCAGACCGGGACCCGACAGCTTCTCCAGTCCGGTTCAGGTCATAGGGGGGTTTTGTAATATTTCAAAATTATGAGGGTTAATTATAATTTTATAGGGGTGTTTTGAAGATATGTCAAAAGTTTAGGGATTAAGTAGTAATTTTTTGGGGTATTTTTAAAATAAATAAAAATTTTAGAGACTAATTTAAACTTTGTAGGGGAATTTTTGTAATATATTAAAATTAAGGGATTCATATGTAATTTTTTAAAAATAAAATTATCGCTGATATCAATGGTCCAACCGATTGACCCGTGACCCGTACAGTAAAATGGGTTGTCCTCCGATTTGGGTTTTAAAACAATGGCCGGGATGTTATATACTTAAAAGGCCAGCTTATTGATCAAGCAGACTTAACTTTGTTTTCTAGATAATTATACTGTCAAATCTAGACCATCTATTCACCATTTTATAGTGAAGAAAGAATCCTACTTGCAAATTAATTATATATGTTGTCAAATCTAGACCATCTATTTTTAGATAATTATATATAATATCAAATCTAGACCATCTATTCACCACATGTGGCATAAAGTCTAGGTACCAAAATTGCGCAGAACTAATACTTCATCGTTGTAATCTCCTGCCACAAAATAATTCCCTGATAAATGTCTACATCCAGTGGAAATAAATATTTTTTAATTTATTTTTATTATTTTTGTTGTCGCTTCTTGTTAGCCAGAATCTTCTTCCTCTGTATAAGTTGCCTCCTTATTTAACTTCTTACTTGTTAATTATGTCTTAATATATGATCATAATTACATATAAAGTTACGAATTTTAATGTTATGCAAATGAAGGGTGTGGCAATGCCATTGTAATAGACCTTTCCTTCATATAATTTGTTTTGGTATTCATATTGCTTGAAGGCAACCACATCTGCCTTAATTATTGATAAGACATACTTAACTCTGTTTCTAGATAATTATATTATCATATCTAGATCATCTATTCACCATGTTATACTTTGATCTTGAGGGTAAAGGTCTTTATGTCCCCTAAATGATTGTTCTTTATATATATAGTTGTGTTCTCTCTCTCTCTCTCTTTTTCTTTGAGCTAGTTTTTGGGTTTGAATTCTACCTAGTCTGATGTTATATATCAGCTAGCTTTTGGGTTTAAATTCTATCAAACCCCATGTTATATATGAGCTTGAGTTCTACCAAGCTTCTACCAAGCCCAATGTTATATATGACAGATTCTCACATGCTTGGAATTTATAAAAAATATTCTTTTGTTGATGAGATTCATATCAAAATTTTGTTTAATCAAAGAAAAAAAAGAATTCTTGATTTATATCTATATACTTTTATGTTATATGTGAGCTACAACAACATCGTTAGGTGAATCACTTACTTTCTATGATTCGCATGTTACGATGTTACTAGAAGAACCAAATTTTTCCATCATTTACATTTATTTTTTGTTGCTCATTTTTGGCGATTTGGGCCATTTGAACACGAAATATAAGTAGTTTCAATAAATCCACAAACTCGTAAAGAGAGATGAGATGAAGAGAAAAACTTTATTGTATTACTTTAACTTGAATACAATGTTTGGAATGAACTAAACCTAATACTAGCTAGCTTTATATAAAATTTTACAAGTAGATATTATAAAGTATACAAGCAATGGATTGGAATATGGTGTAATAAGACTAGATCCGTACATATCTATTGAGATGAATGATTAGGATTAAGTGCACAAGCAATAAAATTCTAAACCTATTCGGTTAATATGTAGAAAGCTTCTACATATATTCTCTAACATATTCTTTTGATACTTGTAGGTCAAGTTTGGCTCAGGTCTTTTGAATTGTATATTAGACCTCACATGAACTTGGGCATGAGTCTGCCGTGACACTACGTTGGTAGTGTGGCCTTTGATCGGTCTTGACGCTATTATTTATCACAGTATTACATTAAAGTCAGGGGCAACTTTCCATTCCTTATAATTTGTTTCTTTTGATGAAGCTTAGTGGGACATTAATAAACTATTCTGTATTTTCTTAATTCATGGAAAGCATGAGCCTCCAAATTTGACTTCGCATTTGACAATTATCAGAGCAAAGGAAGCTTCCTGATCTTGATGATGGAAATTTCAGATTCTAGTGGGTCAACTTTTCTAGTCAATAAGTGAACTGATGAGTCTAAATCAAATAGTTGAGGAAGAAGATCAGAAGACTCTCTCAAACTCAAGCCTTGAGGGCGTTGTTCTTTATCTTGCATGATACTTGAATATTTCATCAATCACGTAGGTTCATCACATATCCAGCTTTTAAATTATTTTTTTCTGTGTCCATCTGCAAATGTTTTAGTTTTCTTAATTGTTAATGATAATTATGCATTTTTAGGTTAGATGATGTGTTTGTATTTAAAGGAAAGCAAAAGGCAGAAACAGGAAACATTTCTGTTGAATGGTAAAATTTTATTGATTTTGAATGCTCCATGTCTATTCTAGAAGGTGAGACTGACATAACAGATGACGTGAGAGGAAGATACGGATTTGTTGCACCTGAGTATGTTATGACAAGCATATTCAATGAAAAGTTGGATGTTTATAGTTTTGGTACTTGAGCTTTTAACTGGACAGAAATTAATTGATCGATCATTCTCGTGAAGAAATACATTGAGCAGGATAACTTTACTGAGTAAATCCCATAATTGTTGGTACCGAATTGGTCTCTAGGAAAGGAACAGCAATTGCAAGCTCTTACAGAACTTGCCTTAAAATGCCTCTCTAAATTTGCTCAAGAAAGGCCGAAAATGATTGATGTAGCAAAACAACTCAGGAAAATGTAAATGAAGGGTGTGGCAATGCCTTTGTAATAGAATAGAGCTTTCCTTCATATAATTTGTTCTGGTATTCATATTGCTTGAAGGCCACCCCATCTGGCTTAGTTATTGATTAAACATATATACTAACTCTGTTTCTAGATAATTATATCTCCCTTGTTGGCTTGACTTGCTCATGATGTTTATATAATTCTACAGCATATATATCTCCTTTGACAGATTCCCACATGCTTGGAATTTATAGAAAATGTTGGTGAGATTTGTATTGAAATTTTGTTTATTCTTGATTTATATCTATATATTTTTATGTTATTATATGTGAGCTACAGTAAGATCATTAGGTGGATCATTTACATTTGTCTTTTGTTGCTGATTTTTGGCCATATTACTGTTCCTGCATATACAAAGTTGCCTCCTTTCTTGACTTCTTGCATATTAGGTGGATCAATTTCCTCTTATTTTTTTCTTTTTCGTGAGGTCGCTTAGCATTTAACTCATTTATTTCTTAGAAATTATTTAAAAAAACCCTATAAATATTAAACCCCATTAAAAACATCAAACATCCTTTACAAAATCATATCATTTGAGATAAGTTTATAATATTGAATAAAATGAAACAGTAAAAGTGAATTCTATTATTGAATTACTTGAAAGATGATAAGTTTGATCTTCTCTCCCCTTGGTACATCAAAATTAATAGCTTCTACTTCTAGGGTGTTCTTAAATGCATTAAATTTCTGTCGTCTTTTAAATTGACCGGGGTTGTGGCGCGCATAGTGGGTCATTCTCCTCAAAAGGATATAAAAGAAGCTCATTAAAGAATATGATTTACCATAAATCTAACAATTAAAAAAAAGAAAAAAAGGGTTTCTCCGAATTTTTTTTTTTTTTTTATTGTAACTTATCTCTACAACTGCCGGTGTGGCCTTTAATCTTTTCTTTTAATTTGATAATTTGGCGGCTGCAAGAGGCCAGATTTGGCGGTCAACATGATAAGTATATCTTTGGCCATCGTTGACTGTCAAATTTAGCTTTTTACGGTCAAATCCAATATGGATCTGACTGAAAAGGGCTAGATCGATAAATTACCAGCCATTCTCGATCGTTTATACACCATTATGATAGATTCCGACAACTATGGATAAATAGGGGTGTTTTTATTAATTTTTAAATTTTTTTTAAGGGGCGTTTAACTAAATTAATAAACTTAAGGAGTTTAAAAGTAATTAAAAAATAAATAGTATTTCTTAAATAATAAAACAAACAAGTATTTTGGGAATATGGATAGGAATAACAAAACAAACGGAGCCAATGCACATTACAGTTAGGGGCAAATTTTTATTTCTTATAATTTTATTTATTTATTTTTAATGAACGTTAGTGGGACATTAATAATCTATTTTGTATTTTGTTAATTCATGGAAAGCATAAGCCTCCAAATTTGACAATTATGAAAGCAAAGGAAGCTTCCTGATCTTGGCGATGGAAATTTCAGTTACTTTTCTCGTCAATAAGCAAAGGAAGCTTTCTGCAAATGGATTTAGTTTTCTTATTTGTTAATGATTATTTTAATTTATGCATTTTAGGTTAGATGATGTGGTCGTTTTTTAAAGAAAGCAAAAGGCAGAAACAAAAAGAGGAAACATTTCTGTCGAATGGTAAAATTTTATTGAAAGAGTTGGTTGCATCTTCTCATGGTAAATATAATCTATTTCATAGCTTCACTGATAAAGAAATCAAGATTGCAACAAATAACTATGATCAACATAATATTATAATTTCAGGAGACTTTTATCTCTTGTACAAAGGCTTTCTACAAGATCGATCAATTTCTGTTGTAAAGTTTAGATTTGATATCTTTCTTGGTGCCATAAATAGTATTAATATCATTATATTTGCATCGCAAATGAGTCACAAAAATATTTTGAAGTTGATTGGATGTTGTTTAGAATCTCAACTTCCCATTTTAGTTTTTGAACTTGTGGAGTGTGGGACTCTTGCTGATTGTCTTTATCGGTCATGTGAACCACATTTTGAGCCTTCGTTATTGACACATCGGTTAAAGATTGCTATGGAGATAGCTCATGCGATTGCATATCTCCATTCTGGGTTCCGTCGACCCATTATTTTTAGATCGATTGATCCACATACTATTGTATTCAATGAACAATATGTTGTCAAATTGTTTGATTTTTCACACTCCATTGCTATTCCAGAAGGTAAAACTCACGTAAAAGATGAAGTGCTAGGAAGATTTGGATTTCTGGCACCTGAGTACCTTATGACAGAAAAATGCAATGAAAAGGTAGATGTCTATAGCTTTGGTATAATTCTACTTGTGCTTTTGACTGGTTTCAGAGCAACTGAGTCTTCCAGTTGGATTACTGTAACTTGTCTTAATTGCAATTTGGAGCATGTTGTGAAAATATACATTGAGCAAGACAAGTTTACTAAGATAGTTGATCCCATAGTTGTTGGTATGAGACTATCTCCCGAAAAAGAAGAGCAATTGCAAGCATTTGCAGAGCTTGCCTTTAAATGTGTCTCTGATTCAGCCGAAGACATGCCAACAATGATTGATGTAGCAAAACAACTTAGGCACATTTATAAATCAACTTGTCAATTAATGTCTTAATTTATGTACTCATTATTATAAAGATGTAAAACACCCCACCAACCTAGCCACTGTGGGCCGTCGACAACCACTGCGAACAGTTGGCAACCAAACAGCTCATGGAAGGTAGGAAATGGCCTCCGTGCGCCATATGACCATTTTCGGCCAGATCTTCGGCCAAAGATCTGGCTGAAAATGACCAAATCTGGCCAAATCGATGGCCGTTAATAGACGTGGCTGTTAACGGCTGTCGATCTGGCTGAAAATGGCCATATCGACACACGATAGCCATTTTGAGCTTTTGTACGTCGTTTTAACGGTGGCAACGACAGGTGGGTGGGTGGGAGTGGTATCTTGGGTGAGTTGTAATTTGTTTTAAATTCAAGAGTAATTTTGTCTAAAAAGTTAATTAGTTTGGGTAAAATAGTAAAAATCATATTCATGTAAATAAATTTAAAAATAAGGGTATTATTATTCTAAAATTTTATTAATAAGGGATATAATTATAATAAAAAAATTATTTTTATAATTTTAGAATATTTAAAAAAATAAAGGTAATCAACAATATCTATTATTAATATTTAAAGATTATCAAAATTAAAGTCTCACTTTCCCTCGGCCAAACGCCAATGTTCTGAAACCCGGATCGGACTGGGCGGTCTAACCGGTCCGACTGGGTTTCGCTGAGATTTCTGGTTTAAAAAATGTAAAAACCCGGATTTTTAAATTAGATCGTTTTAAACCGTGGTTGGACCGTTTTACTGTAGCAAACCGACGGTCCAACCGGTTTAAGAAACAAATCCGGTCCACTAAGTAAAATTAAAAAATGTGAAAAAAATTTAAAAAGTTAAAGTCAAACGGTCAAATCCACATTTTTTTAATCCATTTTCTATTTCTTTTGCAGATTAGCTGTCTGCCACTTTACTAAATTGAAATTTGCGTTTGCTTTTTCAGTTTTCTTTTTGGTTTGCCTTTGCCATTCGTGATCTCTACTCTCCAGTCCCCTCCTCCTCCTCCATTCACGATCTCGGATCTCCTTCAAGCTTCAGCTTCAGCCTTCAAGTCTTCACTCTTCAAGTCTTCAACCTCTTCAATCATCGCGATCTCCTCCTCTTCAATAACCTCTTCAGGCTCCAGTCCAGTCCTCCTCCATTCGCAATCTCATTCAATTTTCAGCTTCAGCCTTCAAGTCTTCAACCTCTTCAATCATCGCTCGTCTGCTACTCTGCTTCTTCCTTGCCGTGGCTGGTCTACTACATTACAGTCGTGATATTATTTTGTAATGCCTTTGATGATGTTTGAAACTTTAGACTTTGAGGATTGAATTTGTAAACATTAAGTCATTAACTATCAAATTTGGATGGTTTTATTATTATTATCGTAGAGTTGGTTGGACGGGTTATAGATTTTCGTTACATAAAAATCTGGATTTTTAAATTTTTTTACTTTTAATCGTGTTTTGCTGATGTCAGCGGTCCGATCGATCGGTCGGACCGATCCAACCGTGAAAACCAGAAACCGAGCCTCTGGCCGAGTCAACTGCCGATCCGGTTTTCAGAACATTACCAAACGCCCTTTTACAACATTATCCACGGAGTGTTAAATCAAACGTGGACGGCACATTAAAAGCCGGGCAAATTTATATTTTTATAATACTTTTTGGGAATTCTCGCAGTAAGTTAATTAAAAATTACTTACAACTTCGAACTTTAAGAAATTTCGATATCTTTATGGATAGACATTGGGTCCCATTTACAGTAAGACATTACACATTCCGCGAGGCTAAATGGCAGGACACGTTATTACCCCACTAACACAAGGCTGTTCAAATAACAACCAGATAGACCTTATCAAAGCAAAGGAAGCTTCCTGATCTTGGTGATGGAAATTTCAGATTATGAGTGGGTCAACTTTTCTCGTCAATAAATGAACTGATGAATCTAAAATAAACAAAGTGATCAAGATAGCTGAGGAAGAAGATCAGATCGAAGACTATCTCAAACTCAGGCCTTGGGGCATTGTTCTTTATCTTGCATGATACTTGAATATTTCATCAATCACGCAGGTACAAATCCAGCTTTTAAATTTTTCAAATGGATTTAGTTTTCTTAATTGTTAATGATAATTTTAATTTATGCATTTTTAGGTTAGATGATGAGTTGGTTTTTGAAAGAAAGCAAACGGCAGAAAGAGGAAAGATTTCTGTTGAATGGTAAAACTTTATTGAAAGAGTTGATTGCGTCTTCTAATGGTAGTATAATCAATATCGTAGCTTCACTGACAAAGAGATCAAGATAGCACAACAAACAACTATGATCAACAGAATCTTATACAATTGCTCGCGGTATTCATTGTACCGGTTTTCTACAAGATCGACCGGTTTCTGTTTTGATTTTTTCAGATAAGTGTACCAAATATAGTATTAATAGCATCGTATTTGCATCGCAAATGAAACACAAATTTTTTTTGAATTGATTGGATTTTGTTTAGAGACTGAAGCTCCCATTCTAGTTTTTGAACACGTGGAAATGGGACTCTTGCTGATCGTATTATCGTTCAAGTGAACCGCATTTCGAGCCTTTGTTATTGACACATAGGTTAAGATTGCTATGGAGATAGCTAATGATGCATATCTCCACTTGGGTTTCTCTCGACCCATTATTTTTAGATCGATCGACTCGGACTATTGTTTCCCTGAACATATGTTGCCAAATTGTTTGTTTTTCTTTGGCCATCGCTATTCCAGAAGGTGAAACTCACGTAGAAGATGAAATGGCAGGAACATATGGATTTCTGGCACCTGAGTGCATTATCAACAAAACTCATGAAAGGTGGATGTCTATGGCTTGTGGTGTAATTCTACTGAGCTTTTGACTGGTCTCAATCAGTTCAGCGTCCCAGTTCGCCTACTGAAACTCATTCTTATATTCTCCCAGTTCGCCTGCTGAAACTCATTCTTATGTTCTCCCATTCGGTCTACTGAAACTCTTTTGATGGGCCTTTGGAGCGTGATGATTCTCCAGTTCGCCTGCTGAAACTCATTCTGATGATTTCCCATGAGCCTACTGAAACTCATTTTGATGGCCTTTGGAGCGTGATGATTCTCCCATTCGGCCTACTGAACTCTTTTTATGGGCCTTTGGACGTGATGATTCTCCCATTAGCTACTGAACTCATTTTGATGGCCTTTGGAGCGTGATGATTCTCCCATAGCCCTACTGAAACTCATTTTGATGGGCCTTGGACGTGATGATTCGAGCTATATTGATTCTTTCATTCGGCGTATCGAAATTCATTTTGATGGCCTGGCGCGTGTTGTGAAAAAATACATTGACAAGATAGGTTTACTGAGATAGTTGATCCCATAGTTGTTGGTTCTGGACTATCTCCTGAAAAAGAAGAGCAATGGCAAGCATTTGCAGAGCTTGCCTTTAAATGTATATCTTCACCCTAGACAGGCCAACAATGATGATGTACAAAACAACTTAGGCACTTTATAATCTACTTGTCAATTAATGTCTTAATTTATGTACTCATATTACAAAGATGTAAATTTCATGCATTTAGAAGAGGAGAATGCTTTTGTAATAGACCTTTCATATATATATATTTGTTATTGATATATATTGTTTCTATTCTATAGAAGAAGTGTCGCTTTCCAAATAAAGCCAAGCGTCCTAAAGTAGAGAGACAAAAATTGATTTTGACAAAAACTAAAGAGCTTAACTTAACATTCCAATCGTTATCAGATATTGTGATTTTTCTTTTACCTATATTTGAGGTGAGTTCGAATTGAAAGGATGCGTTATAAGATGCACTATTTGAGATGGATAAGGATAAATCTACAGTATCTTTATTGTGCACTGGGATGTTTATTACTTAAAGGTCACCACATTTAACTTATTAATCAAGCAGACTTAACTCTTTTTCTAGATAATATATTGTCAAATCTTACCATCTATTCACCATTTTATAGTTAAGAAAGCTCCTTGCAAATTGTTTATATATGTTGTCTAATGTAGACCATCTATTCACCACATGTGGCATAAGTCTAGAGACCAAAATTCGGTAGAACTAATGCTTCATTGTTGTAAGCTCCTGCCACAAATCATTCCCTGATAAATGTTTACATCCAGTGGAAATAAATATTATCATCATTTACATTTTTAATTTGTTTTTATTATTTTTGTTGTCGCTTCTTGTTACCAAATCTTCTTCCTCCATAATTTGCCTCCTTGTTTGATTCTTACTTATTATTATGTCTTAATATATGATCATAGTTACATATAAAGTTACGAATTTTAATGTTATTAAATGAGGGTGTGGCAATGCCCTGTTTCATACTATTAATTATCATATCTAAGATCATCTATTCAATGTTATACTTTGACTTGACAGTAAAGGTCTTTTATGTCCCCTAAATGATTGGTCTTTATATATATATTGTGTTTCTCTCTCTCTCTCTCTCTCCCTCTCTTTGTTAGTTTTTGGGTGAATTCTACCTAGTCGATGTTATAGATGAGCTAATATATGGCTATGTTCTACCAAGCTTCTACCAAGCCCAATGTTATATAATTATCTGGAAATAAAGTTAAGTGGATCCCACAATTTTTGGTACCGAATTGTCGCTAGAAATAGAATAGCAATTGCAAGCTCTTAACACCCTTCCTAAAAAATGTTTCTCCAAATTCGCTCAAGAAAGCCGAAAGATTGATGTAGCATAAAACAACTAGGAAAATGTACAAATCTACTTGTTAATTATTTCTTAATTTGATCGTAATTACTTTTAATGTTATGTATAGAAGGATCAAGGGTGTGCGATGCCCTGTAATAGAGCTTTCCTTTATATATTTGTTCTGGTATTCATATTGCTTGAAGGCCACCACAGTTGCCTTAATTATTGATTAGACTGTACTTGGCTCTGTTTACAGGTATTTATATCTCCCCTGTTGCTTGACTTGCTCTGAAATCCCCCAGACAGAATGTTTATATAATGAACAGCATATAGCTCCTTTGACAGATTCCCACATGCTTGAATTTATAAAAATGCTCTTTTGTTGTGAGAGTCGTATTGGAAATTTGTTTAATCGAAGAAAAACGATTCTTGAGTCATATGTGAGCTTTCCTGTGACTGGCATTGTACTAGAAGAACCAAATTTTTTCATCATTTACATTTATTTTTGTTGCTGATTATGGCATATCACTGTTCCTGCATATCACAGGTTGCCTCCGTTCTTCATGCATTTGGGCCATTTGACATCCTATGTAGGTAGTGTGGCCTTGATGGTAATGTGTCATCGTCTTGATGTTATATTATTCGGTGTGATTGGATCATGAAATATTAGATTACTGGAAAGTTAGATTACTTAAGGGGCGTTTGGTTCAGGAATGTTAGTTACTGGAATATTTGATTACTAGAAAGATAGATTACCTTGAAGATTACTGGGAATCTTAGAAACTTGTTTGGTTAGTTGGTGGGTATGTTATTTAATATTTTTGGTTATGGGAATAAATTGTGGGTATGCTTTTATTACTAAATTGTCCCCCTTTTAAATATTAATATAAAATTATTTTTATTATTATTTTTGAATAACTCTTTTACCCCCAATATTTCAGATTTAGCTAAAACACCCCCGCTTATATAAAACTTTAATTTATGACGAAAATCACCCCCACCACCGCGAACCACCGCAACCACCGCCGATGTGCCCGTGAGTACCACCGTGACCAGAGGCTCCGCTATAGCCGTTTTGGCCATATTGATGGCCAAAACGCCATATCGGGCCAGATCTGGCCGTTAACGCCAGATCTATTCTGGCCGCCGATAACGGCCACGTATCTGGCCGAAATGGCCAGAATAGACTGGCCATTTCCGGCCAGATCTGGCCCGATTTGGCCGTTTTCGCCACAATGGCCAAAAACGGCCATAGAGAAACCTCCCGGAGCCTCCACAGAATTTCCAGTTTTTACGACTCTGGTAATTTTCCGCGGTGTCCAGGTGGTTGACCGCTGTCGGCGATGGTGGTTGGTGGCTGTGGTGGTGGCTGCTGGATGGCAGTGGTGGTCTGTAAATATTTTAAATATAAGGGCAATTGTTCAAAATTTTAATTAAACAAGGGTAAAATTGAAATAGGATGTTAATGTAAATTTGTTTTAAAGTAGGGGTATTATTGTCCAAATTTTATTAATAAGGGATAAAATTGTAACAAAAAAAGATAACCCTGGTAACTCAGAAAACCTAAGAAATGAAGGTAATCAGATTACCTCTTTATTACCAATAGTAACCACTATTGGTATTGAAGATTACTGGTATCTTATTTACTTACAACCAACGTGGTAATCAAGTAATATAAGATGACATTACCCCTAATGTCATTTAACCCCGAACCCTACCCTAAAGATTATGAAAATCTTTAGAAAAATGTATTTGGTTAGTTGGTAGGTAGTTATATTAATATGTTTGATTATGATGAATAAATTGATGGGTATGTTATTAAATTACTAAAATTATCTTCTAATTAATATTATTATTATATTAATTTTTAACATTGATTATTATTTGGATTCTTATAACCCTCTGCATTTAAAACTTAGCAAAAACAACCCCATAATAAAAGTTTGGAAAATCAACAAAGCACCCCCATCAACCCAGTTATTGCCGGCCGCTGGCAACCACCACCAGCATGCATGGAAGGCAGAAAATGACTTCGTTCGCTGTATGACCATTTTCGGCTAGAGATCTGGCTTAACGGCTAGATCGATGACGGATCTGGTCGGAAATGACCATATCGGTGCACAACAACCACTTTACCTTCCTGCACCGTTTCGATGGCGACGGTTGCGGTGGTGACAGGTAGGTGGGGGTGATGGTGGCTTGGGGGCTGTAATTTTTGAATTCAAGGGTAATTTTGTCTAAAAAGTTAATTAGTTGTAGTAAAATAGTAAAAACTATATTCATGTAATAAATTTAAAAATAAGAATATCATTCCTGAATTTTATTAATTAGGGATAAAATTTAATAAAAAATTATTACTTTGAAAACCTTAAAATACTCTAAAAAAAATAGAAGCAATCATTTTATTAATTATTCTGTTATATATATATTTAAGGTGATTGATTAGTATTTGGATAGGATTTTAGGGATAGTATTGAGTTATTGGATATGGGAGTATTACGAGTAAATTTTAAATTTATAACCAAAGGAGGGGAAATAGAAAGAGGAGTGGATAAAAAGGGAAAGGAGAAACGGAGGAAAAGAGGAGAAGAGGGGAGGGGAGAGAGGAAGGAGGAAGAATGGATAAAAGAGCAGCGAATAAGATGAAAGGAAAAAAGAGGAGAGGAGTGGAAAAGGACGTATAGAAAGAGAAGGAAGGGAAGAAGAAAGGAAGCGAAGAAAGATCGGAAGGAGGGAAGAGGAAAAGAGGAAAAAGGAGGAAGCCGCTTAGGGTTTACTAATTTAACTAAAGACCCTAACATGTGGAAAAGGTGTGCGCAAAGAGCAGGGAAGCATGCTACAGAACATCGGCTCCACCCAACCACACCTTGCACGTCAGATTCCGGCCACCACCGCCGGAATCTGGCCGGAAAATTTTCGTTTAGGCACCAGGGGAACTTACGGATCTTTGCCGTAACACGTCGTTATGGCCCTTTTCCGGCTAGATCGGCATTGTTTGGGCTCTGTCCGTGGAAAGGCCAGATCTCCGGTTTTGTTATGGCCTGAGGGTCGACAGGCCAAAATGCAAACGACGGCCATCTTTGGCCGTCCACGACGGCCCAAGATGTGCCGTCGCTTTTCGTCAC